GAGCAGGTACTGTTCCTATGGTGATGGCAGACACACCTTCATAGGGTGCTTGGCGCTGAGCAGGTACTGTTCCTATGGTGATGGCAGACACACCTTCATAGGGTGCTTGGCGCTGAGCAGGTACTGTACTGTTCCTATGGCGATGGCAGACACACCTTCAGGGGGCCTTGGCACTGAGGATAAAAAAAGCATTTCAACCTGCTAATGTTATTAACAGATATTCTTATTCTAATTAGCATTGTAATATATGTGAATTTAAATGCTCTTTAAAAGTCACCTTTGTTGTTTTCTTTTTTTTCTGTTACAAAGCTTGGTGCACTTATACCTGATTGTCTTCCTTATATCAAAGTGTACGTGTGTGTGTCTGTGTTTGTGTTTCTGTGGATTATGTTTATATCACATTGTGGGGACCAAATATTCCTCACAATGTGATAAACACCAGGTATTTTGTGGGTAAGGTGTGGGGACCATTTTTCAGGTCCCCACAAAGATCTCTGAATGTAATCAAAAAATTCAAAATGCCAAAAGCCTCATATTTTGTTTGGTTTGTTGGGATTAGAGTTTCCCCATAGAAATTAATGGAGAGTCTCCACAGAGATATAATAGAAACCTGTGTGTGTGTGTGTGTGCGTGCGTGCGTGCGTGCATGTGTGTGTGTGTGTGTGCGTGCGTGTGTGTGTGTGTGTGTGTGTGTGTGTGTGTGTGTGTGTGTGTGTGGGAGAGAGAGAGAGAGGGGGAGGGAGGGAGGGAGGATTTTGAATATTCTCCCCATGTTCTGTGTTGGACTCAGTTGTGTTAAATGAGTTCAATTTGTAAACTGCTTATACAATATAGAGGTGTTCATGGATGTTAAAGTAGTTTAAGAGACAATACAAAGCCCCTAGCCTTAGGTTGCTCTCTTCCCTTGGGAAACTGTGAATATGTTTTTGTTTTACCAAAAAAAAAATTCTAAAAAGCAATATCACAGTCAATTAGTAAAATCACAGGTAAGTAATGAAATTAAAACACAAACTATAATGTTGCCATACCAATTTTATACATGCAGATTATCCTGCAACTTTTACTAGACTTTGTTTGCTCTTTTCTTGCCTGCCTCCCAACATCCGAAAGTGACAGCAGCGTGCAGGTAGAATTGCTGCTGTTACCATATCAAACCTCCCAAAAAAAAAATCTTATCGCTCTCGGCTGTGTTAGAAGCTGCTCCATTGTGGGAGGGACAATTTGCAAGACATTCTGGGAGTCTGACCTTGCAGATCCGCAGAGCAATTTTATGTTTTGAAGTGTGCGTAACAGGAAGAAAAATGCTTGGTTGTTTGTTTACAAATAAACACTCTTTGCTGGATGATAAAACGGCAACTGTGCTGTTTAAAATTCAGTGCTGGGAAGTCCTACAGGGCCCTTTTTCGATGGTTGCAGTACAGCAGAGAAGAAAATATATGATGACAGTATGTTTATTCTTTAAAATATCTCCTGGAGAGTGCTACTTTGTCAGCAGTGGACATTTAGAAAAATGAGAGAAGTTTTTCAGCTTGGTTATTTCAAGAATGGTTATCTATTACTGTTAAATTGAAAGGTCAAAGAAAGTGTTTTTATATCCACAGTTATTTTGTGGTGGGAAAGTCTTAATTGTTTGATAATCAGATAATAAATTTGGTATATAGATTTTAAAACAAAACAATAAAATATTAATACAGATTCTGTTATTATCATGATTCTAAATTTATCATTTATGTTGTAAAAAGTATTCCCAGTGTTACTTCTAATTGTAAATCATGAAACAACATCACTATGAATTTGTGCTTTAATACGTATGTATTATGTATAGTATACAGTATAAGGGAGCTGGTAGTTAGCTGAGATTTTTATTTGATTTGACTAATAGATGGTGTTTATACTTAAGTGTTTTTTAATGCCATCACAGCTTAGTCATTTTTATTCTCATCAGCAAGCAGAGAATAATCAGAAATATAATTAAATTCATTACAAGTAATATATAACATACCTGAACATAGATTTGCTAGTTTTGTATAACTATGAACCATAAAATGTTGTTCTGTATGTGTATATTGTTTGGCACACATTCCGGACAGAAAATCCTTAAACAATCTGTTGATATACAAAATAGTCATTTTAAAGTAAAGGTAATTATTGAATCAGTTTATTTGCAATTAATTGTAAAGGCCATTCAATTAAATGTCAGGTCATACAATTATTTTCCTCAAAATATTAGTGTAATTATTTTGTGATGGTCAGCATCAGTTTCACGTACATTCTTTCAATGAGCTTTACCTCTCTCTTTTAAAGGTCCCTGGGAATATTATAGAACCAGCTTTCATGCACCTCCATGGCACAGTGGAAGACTCATGGGAGTGGGACGAGATGGATATCAGTAACGACCTGATCAGTGTTGATGGAGAGCCACAAAACCATGACAACCACCAGTGCCATAATTCCACATTGTCCAGAAACAGCACAGGAAATAATTTTGAGGTCTCAGAGTTAAATCAAAACAACCAACAAAATGGCGTGCTATCACAAAATATTGATCTGGAACCATTGTCCTCTCATTCAAACATCTATCATGTCTACAGTCTTCATAGCGTTGAACTGTATAACCAGCCCCAATATACCCTCCAAAAGAAAGCCCCTACAGACCTCAGCAATAAACAGCCGCTAACAAAGAGCATAAGCAAAGACTCCTCTTTCTCATCAGCTGAATCCATACCAGAGCTTTTTGGGGGTATCCTCTGCAGAAAACAAGGGGGTGACAGCCTTTACGTTCATTCTGCCAGAAGATCAGAGAGTGAGAGTGGAATCATGAGTGAAGGGGATACTGAGACCACGGCCAACTCAGAGAACTGCCTGCTCAGTCAGGTTGAAGACAGTCAAGGCAGTCTCTTGTTGACACCCCCTAAGAGAGGCCACTCACCCAGTCACAGCCAAGTGTATGAGGACGATGACATCAACAGAATCTTGGAATGTGCTAAGAAGTGTGTTTTATATGAAGACTGTGACAGGTCCTTACTAGAGAGTAAAAACAAATCTGAGGCAGTAAAGAAAGAGATAGATGAGTCAGCACAAACCAGGGGGAAGCAAGGGAAAAATCCAGAGGGCATCCTTACTATGGGACAGGAGTCTGAAGCAGAAGAACTTGACCCCATTGCCTTCAGAACTTCTCCAAGTGATGAGAAAGGAACTACACGTGGCAAATGCAGGGAAGGATTTGCCAGTGTGTCCCCAGGGTCCTCCCTCGACTCCCTTTTTGTAGCTGGAGATTTATTTCTGTCCAGCAAAGACACGCTCCACCGAAGCACCTCCCTTGAGAGTTGGCTAGCCCCATGTAAGAGTGCAGAAGAGATCGGTAGCCAGCATAGCTCGGGGGATCTGGGACTGGCTGCAGGCTCCACAGGAGAACTAAGCAAGAGGACTCTGGAGCTGCTGAAGCGCCTGGAGAACATTCAGACCCCCTTAATCCAAAAAATGACACGCAGTATCTCTGATATCACCCTTCAGACTAGCTCCCTGAGGTTTCCAGGACCTGGTCAGCCATCAGTCAGATTGGGCTCATCAATCAATGAAAGCTCAGCACCATCTCTCACGGAACTGAGTACCACCGAGGAGTCCTCTGTAGCTTCAGAGGACATAGCTGTGCAGAGGAACTGCTTGGTAGACTTGAATGACCCCATCTGTAAGCAATTGCGTTTTCAACCAATACCAGACGAGACCGATGCAAGCATCAGCATGGTGGTGAATGTATCATGTACCTCAGCCTGCACAGATGATGAAGATGACAGTGACCTTCTCTCCAGTTCTACTCTTACTCTCACAGATGAGGAACTCGGTATTAAGGATGATGAGGACTCCAGTATAGCCTCTGATGAGGAGTACATTGAGGGTAGCTTTGCGCTAGGGCTTGGCTACATTAAAAATGAGCTCCAGAACTGGATTAAACCTAGGTCTCAGTCTAAGGAAAAGAATGAACTGGATCTTGGAGATGAGCTACAATGTGGGACTCTCACCCGGGAGAAGGTACCATCTACATTAGGCGCAAATAGGCGTCGTTTCTTAAGCAGGTCAGCCCTAAAACTCTTTGAGTCCAATGCTCATGAGAAGAACATTTCCCTCCAACAGCAAGATGCTGATGCCCAGAAAAGGGAGGTGACTAGAAATTATATGAGGCAATTTGCAGATGACATGGAGAATGGTAATGTAGAGAACTCTCAGGTAAAAAAGAAAGATGAAGATGATGAGTTTCTAAGAGAGGAGAGAAGCCTTTTCACAAAAAGTGGTGAATCCTTCAAGGATTGTTATGCACTGAACTCCGCCATCTCTGACACCACAGTTGTGGCTACCAAAACAGAACTGTGTGATCTTGTGTCATCACAAGCAAAAGAGTCTGTCCTAGAAGGCCAGCTGAGTGGTGAGATTCCCTGTTACAGCTCAGGTGAAGTTTCAGTGCACAAGTCCTCTGTGGAAGGCTGCACAGGGTCACACCAGTGTGCAACAGCTGTGCTGCATGAAAATCATCCCGAGGAAAACCATGTTTCCTTCCCCAAAGACACATGTGAGAGCCATCAGCTGGCCACAGCGCTGCCGTGCTGCAGCCATTTACCTCCTTCACCAGAGGAAGAGAAAACTGAAGATGTGCACAATTTTGTTATGGAGATCATTGACATGACTGCTGTAGCACTGAAGAACAAGGAGACTCAGGCAGACCAGGAGGGTCCTTGTCCCACCCCGGTGGCTCAGATCCGAGACAAAGTGCTGGAGCACTCCCACCGGTCCATCCAGCTGCGCAAGGGGGACTTCTATTCTTACTTGTCTCTGTCTTCTCATGACAGTGACTGTGGAGAGGTCAACACCTGCATGGAGGACAAAAGCAGCAGCCCTCCCCTCCCCAAACTGAGGGAGACACTGGAAATCCATGACAAAGAGCTACTATTTGAAGCTTGCACTGAAGAGGTCTACCTGGGTCCTCCACTTTGTTACAGCATGTGTATGAGCCAGAAGGTGGAGAAAAAGTTTCCCAGTTCCAGGGACTGTTCTTCCCCACACACTGAAAAAGCCCAGGCACTTCCATCAGCTTGTCCTGAATATCAAAAAGCACCGGTTATTTCTCCAGGAAGTACAGCTGGAAGCCTGCTAGAGTACCATAATGAGGCTGCTTATCTTAATCCTTTACCATGTGAAACCCTGATAGACACTGTTGAATGTTTTGCAGATACTAAAATGCTTGAATCCAATATTTCCCCTGTAATGACTAAGATAAGAGTCTCTTGCTCCAGTACAAATCCTTTAAAAGAGGATGGCAGCCTTTATATTAATCCCAAAATTAACTGTCCTCAGATAAGAAAGTGTGATAGGGATGAGAAAGGCCCTGCTTCTCTGCAGATGAAACAGAAGAATGCCAGGAAAGGATGTAGTTCCCATCCGGAGACTAAGTCAACTCATAAACAGGTGGGCTTAAACATTATATCATGGAGTATCTCATCATAATGTAATTTTTTATGTCTCGGCTATATTCATTGTCATAACTAAATATTTTACAAGGCATTTTTTATTCACTTCACACCATCCCTTCCCCCGAAGTGCTAATGGAAGAGGGATTTACAACCTCAGATTTAAAATTTTAAGGTCTACAGAACAGAATAATCATAATCAAACATATTATATTATGATTTATAAGCAAAAATACTGCAAGAATCATTACTTAATTTCATGACTGAATTAGCATGCATTTTTAATTTTTTTAAATTTCCATCTCGTGTGTATTCATGCAACCACTCTGCTTGTGACATCATATTCTGCAAAAGCAAGGCAAAAATATAAGTTTCTATCCCGACATCCAGTATTTACTCTATTATTATATACTGATCTATGAAATAATTAGGTGAAAATGGTACACTGTATGCTGCAGACATAATGACCCAAGAAGCAATTACAGTGAGTTAGATAGATATGAAGATTTAATTTTAAATGCATAAATTTAATATTTATGTATTCACAATACAGGATTATATGTTTCATGTCTTCCTTTGTATTGTATATATAACAAAATCACAAGTATTGTCAACTGTAAAGTTTGCACAAACAAGCATAATAGGTGGCTAGTTCTGCTGTTCTGCCATCTCAAATCATTTATAGTTTTGGCCCAGTGAAATTGCTCATTTGTAGGTTTTTAATAATTGAAATAATACTTGGCAACATAGTAATTTTTTAATGACACATTCACTTTTAATTGGTACTAAAAATAATAAAATATACTTTTAGCATAATTCCTGCTTTGTAAACCTTTTAATTTTTAACTTTCCTTTCCATGACATTTATCCAGCTTGAGGCTGAAGGCTAGAAAAGCACTGATGAGAGCTGTACTTTCTCCAAATGTGTAGATGCCAAAGCCAGAGCAACCGCTTGCAGAGGATGGCGGGGGGCCCCCAGGCAGGAGTGCTGCATCCGCCCTCTCCATCTCCAGTGCTTCCCAACACCAAACTTCTACAAACACTGCACAGAAGAATAAAACTTCCCGGCCCTTGGCCAAGGTAGGCAGCCAGAGCACAGAGCACCCTTCCTCCCTGTACTTAATTACCAGAAAGCTCAGGAGAATAACACACGATTGTGCTTCATGTCCAGCGCTGCATCACAGGCAATACAACATCCTTCCCTTTTATATCCTTCATACCAGAGGTAAACACATTAATAAATAATTCTGTTATGTATTTATAACAAACCCATGTACACTTTGTACTTATTGTGTCCCTGCAGATTGTAGATGATTGAATGTAAAGGCTGGTTCCCTTCATTGACTCTGCTTGTTTGAACTGACTTGGTTATTATGTAAATTACAGGCATCACTGCTTTATGGCTCTTTTTCCAGAAAATTGGCTTAAAAAGCTACTGTTCCATAATAGGTCATGGCATATGGGGCAAGCTGTATTCTTTTGCCATTCTACCTTATGCAGTAATCAAAACTAGCTATAAAAATTAGAAACCTTATGGCCAGTAAATATTACCAGTTATTAAATATGTAATAATAACGAGGAATCACATGGCTTTTTATTTTAGTTCTCAATAGTTGTATAAGCTTCATTCCTATTTTCAAAGCAAATATACATTAAAATAGCAGTGCAAATCTTCTAGTCAGTATTCTTCATGGAATTCTGTCCATGTTTTCTAAGGAAAAAAAGGGTGGATATCTTGCTATAGTTAAGCAAGCTACACAACATTCTGCATGTATTTAATTATTTCAGATATTACATTAGTTCTAAAAATATATTTTGAATCAAAATTATGTTTGGGTTCTGGGGCCCCTGACAAAAAAGTCACCTTGGGCCCCCCACCAAATTCTGCGTAATTTTACGTATTCAAGGGCCCTGTAAAATGGTGGGCCCCCAAAATCTGCCATGGTATCCATGTCCTTACTGCACCCCTGTTTGTGCATCAGTACAAGTAAATATATATAAATATAGCTCTATTGAAGATAAAAGTGCTTTTGATACAGGTAGCTTTAAACTGCAAAAGCTCTCTAAATTAAGATATTCAAATCACATTAATGACCATTTGGTAAAACTTTGTTAGAACTTAGTAGAACTAAGTTACCAGTTTTAAATCCCAGGTGGACAAAATCTTTACCAAAGTAAATATTCAGCTGGGAATTTAACATTTCTACAGATAAGAGCATGTTCTACATGAATACATGATAATGAAATGATAATTCTAAGAATCATGTTGGGTTTTGTGATTAATATGTTTCTCATCATTAAAGTTCCAGTGGAATGTAACTTTTAATTTAATTTATCTTTATTACAAGCAGATTTGCGTCCATTACCATAAACTGTTCACTGCTCTGTCTTGAGCCACTGAATAGTTTTGTTCAACTATGCTAAATAAAAGCAGCCTTACTGACAAAAATAGCCTGATAATTGTTTGTTTTTGTAGAGAAATCTTGGAAAGAAATACCAAACTGGGTGACATTAAATCATTCTCCAAAACTCAAATTCCACAATATGTACACTTTGCTAACTTCTGTCATATTTTATCAAGGATTTAGCACTGGAAGATGAGTAGTATTCCATATATGATATTCTTAATTTAGTGCCAAATGCCAGTGAAAGGGTTTTCAACTGAATCTTAGTCTATTGAGCTTCTCTTTTTTTCTTCACCCACCTGGATATGATTGCTAAATTTAAAAGCAAATAGCCCTGCTGGGTTATAGTGCCATAATGTATCTATTCCCAGGTTTTAGCAACTCTTAATAAGATGGCTGTTTTAAGATGGCCCTTTATGTTGTATTCTGCATCACTCGTGTAAATAACCACAGAGGTCAATGACTGCACATATGGATGGTGGGAGAAGGTAACTGACTAGATCCAGATATTTCTGCCTAATTTAGTCACCATCAGCAATGTATGACTGGAGTGCTCATAGACATGGAGCAAGGAGATGCTCTCTCCACACTAATCTCCTTGATTGTATTCTGACAGCCATTTCCCCATAATCCACATCACAAAGCCCCTCACTTCTTGCTGCATGCCTTAATTATCCCAGACACACTCTTCCCTCTTGAGCCCCAAGTCGAAGGCTGTGCCAGGCCTCAGTGTACAAGGCTGGAAACCTGAAGCTCATCACTAAACCTCCCCCATAATATAACCTTTTTGCCAGACACAAACCCACATGATTATTTAGCCTCTTGAGCTTTAAGATGTTTGCATCACAACAAACATCATTTTCAACAAATGTTTTCCACCCATGGTGTATCTCTCACGTCCTCCTTTCAGCTGCAGGGGTCCTTTAGATGCAAGGAGACACAACCTTGTTTTTTGTACAGTGCAACCGAGACATCACTATCTGTCTGTGTCTGTCTGTCTGTCTATCTATCTATCTATCTATCTACTGTATCTATCTATCTATCTATCTATCTATCTATCTATCTAATCTACCTGCCTGCCTGCAATTGAGGAAATGAACTGATCGTGATGCATTGAGAAGCTACTAAATGTAGAATCAATTCTTGCGCTATTGGTGATTGACTTGATTAGTGATGAGTGATTTAGGTATTACATTTGGATGTATCATACTTTAATATTACATTTTGATATTTTGTAAATAGCAAAGCTATCTGAATTGTTATTAACACTGTGGCTATTTTTTTTTCCATGTTTCAGAGGGGGTCGGAATACCTGGTGCCTCCCATCACCAAGCCTCAGCTTTGAGGGGGCTTGTCCACTCCCATGGCCCATCCCCCATGTGTATTATTGGGCTGTCATCGACTTGATCCTCTGGCTGCTTCTGCTCTTCCGTCCTCCTGCTGTGACATTGAACCACAACCTGATGCTCTTCAATGAGTGGCTCATCATTTTCGTCCTTATCCCAGAACAGAGCTACCTCAATGGTCTACCGCCATTATGTCCCCACTTGGCAACACAAACACACACCCCTTACTCTCTCTCGCCAGCATGCATGGTGGTTCACTCTTATCTTACTATCTCCTCTGTACAACCAGCTACAGATATATAAGTCTAGGGCACTCATTTGACTTGTTTTGCACTGGGAGACAGCAAGATAGGATTTAAGGAAATTTCGGACTACTCCTGCAAGCTCCTACTTTGATGTTATCCCAGGACAGCATCATGAGCTCCAGCTCCACAGCGCTTGTGTTTTAGACTAATTGTGGTATACAGACGTAGCAGAAATTGAACTACTTGAACCCTTATCTCATCAAAAGGCAAATTAAGTAGATGTCTATCTATGCAACACGGCCCAAGTTGGAAACAGCTGTCTTGTGTTGCATATTACAGGATCTCTGGCTGTTGGTGTATCTCAATACTCCATTTTTTATGTTTCCTAAGACTGGAAAAATCAAGGAAATGTTTTAAACTTTAAAAAGTGTGCCTTGCTGTAATTTCTTATTTTTTGTTAAAATACTGCTTTTCCCAGTTATATGTTCAAAGAACTAAGAAAGATAAAGTAAAAAGCAGGGTTGAGATCTATGAACAGCATATGTATATATGTGTAAGTGGAAGCCTTGGTGTATAATGATGGTATAGATGCTTCTTGTTAGTGTAATCCTGTATATGTCCCGTATTGTGGAGAATAATGAGCCTTAAAAGAGCTAGACTGCATGGTTAACGATATACAAAATGTTGACAAATAAACTTAATTTATTGAACACCAACCTATGTGTGCATATATGTAATAATCTATTTCTTATAGTTTCTTAGTTTTTTTCTTGCCAAAACATTTGCTTATTATTAATACATTGAAACCAGGAGGTTTTTACCTCTTTTAATTACTCATTTCTGATTGAGGCATGTGTTTTCATGTTTACCTCATATCACAGCTGAATGGTACTGTTTGGAGTATTTTTAACATAGTAGTTGTGCTGCATTATACTATATTTAAATAAATCTGGTTGTTCAGGAAGGAAAAGACCTTTGTACATGTCTCAGAAGCAACTTATTAACCTATTTTATCTATTTGTCATACATATCCTTACTTGCTTTTTTGTGGACCCTTTCTAATATGAGCCTGATTTCTTTCCTTTGTAACAAGGTGTTATGTCAAAAAGAAAAGGAAACCTGATTTACTAGTCTAAGACATCTTTGAAATATTGTCCGCAGAAATACAGTATGCACTCTTTCACAGTTACAACAAGGCAGGCTTTCAGTATTCATCACTCTTGGCACCATTTCTCAAACCCGACTGTTTTCTTTTCAAGAGAGAGTGACAGCTATGAAGAGCACCACAGAAACCATCCAACATCCCAATACACAGTACATGAAGCTTTCCTTATCTACACCTTGGGCAACCTTGAACTAAATAAATAAATAAATATAAAATAGATCCAGGCTGGATTTCCACCAGTTCTACAAACTAATGGGTAATTCATACCTGAAGGCAAAAGCTGTCTTAAGTTTCTACATACAAATTTTTAGGCTACCATTGTAGTTTATGTATCACTCATTTAAATTACTCATTTCTGATTGAGGCATGTGTTTTCATTTTATAAAGATTTTGTACTTTTTTGTACCTAAAGATGATAGTCCACAAATCAAGGGACATCTAATATTCTGTACCACTAGCAAATCAGTATGGTTGTACGATTTCCACCATGGATGTGTACATGCTCAGCCAACCAGTCAATCTGTCTCTGAATGCTGTAACTTTTCTTGAATGTCAGCCTTTTTTCCTGATAATTGTATATTTGATCTGTCAAAAATGCACATTTTTTGGCAATGAGTACAGTTTTGCATCATGGATTACTTGATCCAAATAGTAAATTTTAATACTATTCTTGGAGGCTATACAGTATATGCTACATAAAGAATCAACATAAATTCATCAAAAAAATATGAACAACAAAATAAGAACATAAGCCAACACCTGAATTGTAAAAATTATTTATACCATCCTCTCCATGAATCACCACCTTATCATAGTGGAGGGGATTGTGTGCCTCTGTGATCCTAGGAGCTGTGATGTTGGGGGCAATTGCCCACTGAAGCAGTGTTCTGTTATTGGATTTCTGGGCTAACCTCAGTTTGCTATAATGAGCTCCATGTTCAAACATAAGGATATGTATACAGTATGTGCACCTGGCACCAGACCACCCTAGGCTGAGGTTTGATTTTTGATTTTGTAGTCATAATGTTGGACCTGCATCTGCATGTTTTGGCACTCAGGTAAAGAGAAGAGCTCAGCTGTCAACTGATCACTACCTGGTTGTGAGCTGGATTAGATGGAAGAGATAATGTCAGATAGACCTGGTAGACACAAATGCATAATGAGGGAGTGCTGGAATTGTCTTGCAGAGGCCCCTGTGTAGAAGATTTTCAACTTCCATCACCAGCAGAACTTCTCTTGCATCCCGAGGGAGGCTGGGGACATGTTCCAGCCTCCATTGCTGAGGCAACTGTATGGAGCTGTGGCCATAAGGTTGTTGGTGCCTGTGATTTGCTGGAGTGATTTGCAGCTGAATGTGAAGCAGGTGTGATGAGGATCACCACCTCCAACCCTGAGGTCATGGTTCTGAACGGGCAAAGGGTGGACTGCCCTCTCCTGGTGGGAGAGTTACTACCTAAGCAAAAGAGTTTAAGTATCTTGGGGTCTTGTTCACAAGTGAGCAATGAAGGGAGTAGGAGAGGTGTATTGGTACAACATCAGCAGTAAGGACACTCTACCGTTCTGTTGTGGTAAAGTTAGAGCTGAGCCAAAAGGGAAAGCTATCGATTTACAGGCCAATCTATGTTCCTACTCTCACCTAT